GACTTGAGGCATTTTGTGTATCTATTCAGTCACCCAAGGTGCCCCACCCTGTCAATAGAACTGAGCACCCCGCCTATCAAACCGAACCCCCCACCCCCACCTGGCACTGACATAGCACTAAGCTAGCAGTGCAAAATACAAGCTCTCTAGCTAAAAAGCTGAAGTCAGTGCTCACGTTGCCTCTTTCCTCAAGCTGAACCCCCACACAACAACCATCAACATCAACGAGGACCTTCATCAGTATGCATAACACGAGAACCGATCAACAGAGGATGCAATCTCCTCTGTGGTCCACACTGCGCTCAACCACCTGGAGCAGAAAAACTCTTACGTCCGTATGCTCTTTGTGGACTTCACATCCGCCTTCAACACCATGATCCCCCAAACCCTGATGGACAAACTATCCACACTAGGACTAAGCCCCTCCATTTGCAACTGGGTACTAGACTTCTTAACAAACAGACCACAGTTAGTGAGGATCCACAACTTGTCCTTCTCCACCATAACCCTCAGCACTGGCTCTCCTCAGGGATGTGTGTTGAGCCCCCTCCTGTTTACTCTGCTCACGTATGATTGTGCAGCTACCCATCCAGGCTGTCACATTGTAAAGTTTGCAGATGATACAGCGGTGGTGGGATGCATCACAAACAATGATGAGTCCAGCTACAGGCAAGAGGTGGAACACCTGGAGAGCTGGTGCAAAGAGAATAACCTTTCACATCAATGTGAAGAAGACAAAGGAGATGATTGTGGACTTCAGAAGGAACAAAAACGTCTACACCCCCCTGAACATAAGAGGATCTGCGGTGGAAGTGGTCTCCAGCTACAAGTACTTGGGTGTACACATGAATGACAACCTCAGCTGGAGCAACAACACCACCAGCCTGATCAAGAAAGCTCATCAGAGACTCTACTTCCTCAGACGGCTGAGGCGAGCTGGTCTGAGAAGCTCAGTCCTCACCTCCTTCTACAGGTGTGCAGTGGAGAGCATCCTGTGCTCCAGCATCAATGTGTGGCATGGAGGCTGCACAGCTGCAGAAAGAAAAGCTTTGCAGAGAGTGGTGAAGGCTGCACAGAAGACTGTCGGAGTCAGCCTCCCCACCATCACAGACATTTACACCTCTAGATGCAGGAAGAGGGCTACCTGCATCATGAAGGACCTCACTCACCCAGCACACACACTTTTTGCCCCACTCCTCTCAGGAAGGAGGTTAAGGAGCATTAAGTGTAAAACCACTTGACTGAGGAACAGCTTCTACCCTGAGGCTGTTAGACTCATGAATCTCTAACTAGAATAATCACTGTGAAAAATCACATTATATTTGCTGCTGATCTGTTTCATGTTGCTGCTGATCTGTTTCAATGTTGATGTGTTCATGCGTGCACATCCGCTCACACAGACTCATGTTCATGTTTGTGCTGATGTTCAATGTTTTTAAGTTATGAGTGCTTAGTGTATATTTAGTTGTTTTTCTTATACATTTTATTGTTGGATGTAAGTGGGACCCTGTGTACGTAAATTCGCTCCACCACATGTACCACATGAGGTGTGAATGACAAGAATCTCTTGACTCTCTGACACCCCCACACATACTCAAAAACTATCTCTATAAACAGCGCAAACCCCAACGTGTTGTGCTAAGCTAGCAGCGCGCAATATAGGTGCTCTAGCTAAAAAGCTAAAAGTGCCTCTTCCCTCATGCTGAACGCGCCCCCCCCCCCCCCCCAACAAAAATCATGGATGAGATGAGCACCCCGCCATGGCAAGTTAATTAGGGGAAACACTGATCATGCCCTTGAGCAAGGCCCTTAACCCCCACCATCTGCTCCTCCGGGTGTCCTAGATGGCATCTCTCTGCTCCACACAGAGGGCTGTGGTAGCTCGGTGTCTGTGGTTGCGTCAGGAAGGGCATCCGGCGTAAAAATAACTGCCAAGTCTTCGTGCGACTTAGTTTGCTGTGGCGACCCCTGAAGAAGGGAACAGCCGAAAAAAGAAAAAAACAACTGATTATGCATTCAATCTCATATCAATTTGATAGCTATATTGTTTTTTTATCACAATAATTTACAGTAGTATGTTCCATAGCCATCAAAACTAAGTAAAATGTAACCAAGTGTGGAATGAGTTGTAAAGACCCCCCTGCATTCTCATGCATTGACACAATTTCCAGGTATTCTACATTCTTGAAAGTTTGATACCCATTACGCAAAAGATGTCAGCTGTATGACCACTAAAGCATCTGTGCATAGGAAACATTTAGTTAAATTGAAACCTTATCTAGATTGTGTTCTTGTGGTGTTTGGTGTCTGATCTTCTCTTGCTCTGTGGAGAGACAGATGGGGGATTTTTATTTCGGCAGCATCATGCTATCAAAGGACCGTCGCAAAGATGAAAGTCTTGTTTTCAGTTTGAAGTTGCCCTTTCCTCAAGTTTTGGGCCAAATGTCGGCATCTGTCTGTGTCTTTAGAGATCAGCAAGCAGCAGAAACAACACGGCTCTGTGAGGGGTGAGAGGGAATCTGCTCAGAGTGAATGGACAATGGCTCAGTCAGAGGGTGGTGAAGGGGGCAAGATAAAGGGAGTCCAGGTATTGTTGAAGGGAAGAGCTCTGTGAAAGAGCATAATAAATCTACAAGAAGTGGAAGATCAGAGACTGGTCCCAACCCCACCTTCTGTACACATGTGAAGAGGTTTGTCCACCTGGACCATCATAAATTTTAGAACAAAGGTCGCTCTAAATAACTCGGCATTTTATATAGCACTCTTCAGACCAGATACAAGTCAAATGCTTACCAATATGAAGCTGACAAAATTAAATAGGCATGGTAATACAGCAAAAAACATATAAAAGCAAGAAAGTGTACCTGCAAGTATTTAAAATTATATTTAAAAGCTGCAGTAAGAATAATGTGTCATGGTTCTGTGCAAGAAAAATGTCACACAAGTAAATTAGTAGGATGGTTATCATGATTGCAGAAAAAAAATAAATATAAGCTCTTTCAAAGTTTTGAGCTTAGCTTTAAAGGCAGAGAGGGTGTCTGCACCTCATACCCAAACAGGGAGCTTATTCCAGAGGAGAAGGGGCTGGAAATTCAAAATGTTCTTGTGGGGTGGTAAGGGACAAGGAGTTGTTTTAAATAAGATGGTGGATAGTAGCTGAAGGCTTTGAGCTGTCCTTTTCTCAACTAGAGTACAAGAGCAGTGTACAGTACTGACTCTAGCCAGGCAAAGATTTGATTAATGCAAAGCATTGTACAGTACAGTGATCATAAATGTTGTAGAAATGGTTCGACACCAAACGTTTTTGAATGAAATTGATTTTGTTTTTTTCAGTTAATATAGTTACTTAATATAGTTATATAGTGTTGTTAGGAGTCTTGAAACAAAAGACAAAGATCCCCAACTTTCTAAAATTACTAAAGTAAATTTGAGTGCACTGAATTCAATAAACCATTTTTTTTTGTCCATGTCCAGTATCTTCTTGACAATACCCACTATAAAAGGCTGTTTTTGTCTGGTATAAATGTCAGCTGTAGCAGACCTTTGGCAAACCTTGACAGAAAGTGAGTAAATATGTTTTTTAGGAACTATTTGAAATCCTATGGGGGCTGCGATAGCTTGGTGGCCAGTGCTGTGGTCTTGTAATCCTGAGGTTGTGGGTTGGAGCCCAGGTTGCATTAAGAAGGGCTTCCGGTGTAAAACAATTGCCAAATCTTTCATACGAGTTTGCTCACTGTGCTAACCCCTGAAGAAGAGAGCAGTCGAAAGAAACTTACCATTTGAATTTCTATGGCTATTCAAAATCATTAAACCTGGTTTCTTTTATTGATAAATTGATGATTGAAAATTCCCTGTGAACATATTCAGCCCTCAGTTGTTGAGATCTGATAAACAATAAGCATGAATAAACCAAGTGATCTAAATATTGTTGATAGATAAAGTTAATCTGGTGCCCCCTTTAACAGTTGCCTAGAACAGTAGCAATGTGATGTAAACATGTTTCAGCCTTTGGTCTTACATCCTCCTCCTCCGAGGTAGTCTGGAGACTTCATTCTGGAGGAGGTAGTCTGTAGACTGCAGTCAAGCGAGGTCTAACCTTTAAACCCTGTTGCAGCACAATTAATGTATTAGGAGTGAGCTTGAATATGACTATAACCCTGATTAAAGCACATCTATTTTCATTTGTAGATGCTGACCTTTGAGGTCTGTCTTAGCTACTTTAAATAAAACTAGCTTCTTCTTTCGGCTTTTCTCTCTTCAGGGGTCATCACAGCGAGTCATCCTCCTCCATCTCACTCTGTCCTCTGCATCCTCTGTCCTCACTCCACCTACCTCCATGTCCTCTCTAACTGCATCCATATATCTTCTCTTTGGCCTTCCTCTTTGTATTTTTCCTGGCAGCTGCATTTCTAACATCCTTCTACCAATATACCCATGGTCTCTCCTCTGGACATGTCCAAACCATCTCAGTCTGGTCTCTCTAACTTTATCTCCCAGTTGTTCAACCTGTGCTGTACCTCTGATGATCTCATTCCTAATCTAATCCATCCTTGTCACTCCTAAGGAGAACTTCATCTTTATTTCTGCCACTTCCAGTTCTTTCTCCTGTCTTTTTGTCAATGTCTCTGTCTCCAGACCATACAACATAGCTGGTCTCACCATTGTCTTGTAAACTTTTCCTTTGACCTTTGATGGCACCCTTCTGTCACAAATCACTCCTGAAACTTTTCTCCATCCACTCCATCCTGCCTGGACTCTCCTTTTCACTTCTTTACCACATTCCCCATTTTTCTGGACAGTGCAACCCAAGTACTTGAAGTCCTGCACCTTTGTGGCCTCTGACTTAAAAAAAGTAACATTCATCTAGCAAAACTAGTTGGACTGCTTCTAAATAAACTTTAGCTGCTTTTAGTGAAAAGTGAACCACGTATCAGTTTGTTCTTCATGTTGACACCTTCTGGTGCATCCGGTTTAAATGTTTTTGTTTTTTGTTTTCGTAGACAAGCTGATAGCTTACCAGCGGGAGTTCCATGCTTTGAAAGAACGCCTTCGTGTGGCAGAACACCGGACGCTGCAGCGCTCGTCTGAGCTCAACAACATCCTCGAGCAATTCCGACGAGCCATTACCGAAACCAACAGCAGCAAAGATGCATTTACAAACTTCTCAGGTAACTGACACATGTAACACACATGTGCATATTAAGCTAAGCATTGTCACATTGTGTGGAACAAGTGTGATGGATTTCTGAAATATTTCAGCCCCATTTTTCTCAATAAGACAGGAGTTTTGTTCTTTGCCTTTTGGGTTTCTATGCATTTCATCAAAGTGTTATGAAGGAAAACAATTATTAATTCAAGGAAAATGTGAAGAACTGTGTGCAGTTTTTTATTTGTATTTTATTTAAATAAACAGAAGGGCAGAAATCAGACGAACCTTAGAATTATTGAATGGGTTACAGAATATAGCTGCTGAAATTATACCATTAACAAGATCATTTAACTTCTTTTTTTTAATTTACTCTGTCATTTGTGACAAATAAAGTAGATATTTTCAAACATTTTAAACGCTTAAAACAAAATACTATAGTTTATTATTCTAATAAACCAAAAAGTTTAACTACTGGTAATAGCTCTTATGCTCAAATTTATTAGACACTCAGTTTACTTGAAATTTTTTATGCAAGTATGTTATGTTTTTTTAATATCATTTTCTTTTATTTAATTTTCAATTTATATGCTTTGTTTTATGATTGTCTATTGTTGTCATCATTCTTTGTTAAAATCAAGTCTCATGTAAATGAGTCCTTGAGGCTCAACCTGTATAATTAAAGGTTGAATGAAAAGTATGTTTTCACACTTCTTCGTATGATATCTTGAATAAACAACCAAAAAGAAAGAAGAAAGGAAGAATATGTGATATAGTTAGCAAAAATGACCTCAATATCTATTTAATTTTTACTCTTTTTTTTTTTTTTTTTTTTTTTTTTATTTTTTACTTTGTATGCACTTAATCTGTTGGGCAACAATGACATATACAGTATTACTTCTTGTGGTTGATACCACTTTAAAAGGCCTTGCTTTAAAAGGTTTTGTACCTGTTTTCAGATGAAACACAGAAACTTCTGAAGGAGCTCACAAACAGGAAACCCCTCCAGGTGCCAAACATCTACCACCACCTGCCTCACCTGCTGAACAATGAGGGCAGCCTGCATCCTGCAGTGCAGGTTGGTCTTGGACGTACAGGAGGTAAGAACTAGATACACACGTTGCAAATTCAGCAAAAGGGTCACAGCACTGATTTATGACGCCTATTTTCTCTCCACTGTGCATGATTATTCTACACAAACATGGTGACACGTTTGTCATTACATCAGGGAGAAAGTCATGTCTCAACATGCTTTCAGATTGTGACTTGTTCACAACACGTATCCTCTTGTGATTTATCTCTCCAAAGGATATTTATGGAAAACTTTTGCAGACTTGAAGATACTTATAATGTGTAATTTGAATTTACTTTTTAGTTGTTTTTTTAAATTGAAAAAAGGTTTCTCGATTTTTATTTTTTTAAATTCTTTATTGTACTGTATTTTCTTAACACCCATGGCAATATCAATTTTATTTATAAAACACGCATTTAAAATTAACATTGACCAAAGATCTTCACAAGGAGGTTATGACCAAACGGGAGAAACCAACTAAACCAAATAAAACAAAATCAAAAGCCAACATTAAATACACTCCCTGGCCAAAAAAAAAAACATTTACCACTAAAAAAAGGTCACGCACTAATATTTTGTTGGACCATCTTTAGCTTTGATTACATCATGCATTCTCTGTGATATTGTTTCGATAAGCTTCTGCCATGTCACAAGATCTATTTCCATCCAGTTTTGCATTAACTTTTCCACCAAGATCTTGCATTGATGACTAGGCACTAGGCATGATGGATGCATCACCTCACCTGCCTCTCTTCTTACCCTGATGCACCCATCACTCTGGAACAGGGTCAATCTGGACTCATCAGACCACACGACCTTCTTCCATTGCTCCAGAGTCCAATCTTTATGCTCCCTAGCAAATTGAAGCCTTTTTTCCAGTTAGCCTCACTGATTAGTGATTTTTTTTTTTTAAGGCTTCACAGCTGTTCAGTCCCAATCCCTTGAGTTCCCTTCACATTGTGCGTGTGGGAATGCTCTTACTTCCACTATTAAACACAGCCCTGAGTGCTACTGTTGTTTTTCTTCAATTTGATTTCACCAAACGTTTAAGTGATCGCCGATCATGATCATTAAGGATTTTTTTCCGGCCACATTTCTTCCTCGTAGACGATGGGTCCCCACTATCCTTCCAGTTTTTAATAATGGACAATATATATAGATAAATGGTCAGTTCCTAACCCAATTTTAGTAGTTCCTGCCATCTCCTTAGATGTTTTAATGCTTGATACATGCCAGTGATATGACCCTTCTCAAACAGACTGACGTCTTTTCCACGACCACGCGATGTGTCTTTCAACATGGTTGTTTAAGAAATGAGAAGCAACTCATTGCACCAGTTGGGGTTGAATAACTTGTTGCCAGCTGAAAGATATTCACCCATGCAGTAATTATCCAATAGGAGGCTCAAACATATTTGTTTAGTTCAATCCAGTTGGCGACTTTTTTTTTTTGGCCAAGCAGTGTATATCCACAAGCGTAAAATAGACTACAAGCAAAAAAAAAAAAAAAAACATTTCACAATTTCATGATTCTGATGGAACTCAAGTTGAACTTGAATTAAAAGCTATTGTTAAAAAGTGAGTTTTCAGGCGGGATTTAAAAGACTGTACAGACTCTGCAATATGAATATCAAGGGGCAGGTTATTCCAGAGTCTTGGGGCTGCCACTGCGAAAGTCTGATCCCCTCCACGCTTTAATTTAGCCTCTAATTTCTCTAATTAATCACTTTAGTTTCCTCTTTCTTGCTTTTGTTCAGGGTCAGACAGTTCTGAGTTAACAGTTTTGACAACTTGTAGATTGCTAAACAGAGACTGCAGTGGGGCAGAGACACCCATTTTAAAAGAGAAATATATTTGGATGGCATTAGCGTAACAACGAAAGGAGATGTCATTGGACTGCAGTGTCTGTTTCATACTGATCTAGAACAGGTTGTAAATAAAATGACCCCAAATCAGAAATGTTTTCAACAAAAAAAAAACAACTTGGCGCAAAGTTTAAAAGCCTCCATGGAAATGCCGACACAGGGATTAACAACAGAGTTAAAATATTTAAAATGACAGTTTGTGACCATACGGTGATCACGTTGGACATAAAAGCAGATTTTGCAGCTTTCTCAGCCCTCTGACGCTTAAACAGTCACGTAAAATTCCTTGAGACTTGGAGTTTGTCCTTTTTCTGCCACACTCAGGTCTGAGCGAGCGTGGATTCATTTAACCGAGGCTGATGGGATGGTTTGGCAGGCTTTATTCTTTTTCTTTGTTTAAAAGGGAACATTTAAATGTCTTAATTTAAAAGTGCTTCTTGATTTTTTTACACTAGAATATAATCCTTAGATTTAGGCCCTGATAAGTTCTTCACAGTAGTTTTAAATAAAGGTAAAATTCTCTTTGTATCACTAGCCAGTTTTCTTTTCTAAACTCCTAGAAGTTTAACATATTTTTATCCTCCAGTTTGGTTAATTATTCCACTTCTGTTTCAATCTTACCTTTTTACTATTATCTTTTTAATCTTTCACCCTTCAAGCTTCAGCACACTACATGTGACTATAGCACATTCCTCTTAAGAAGATTACTTATCTGTCATAGGGGGTGTGGTAGGTAAAGTGCATTTAAAGCTTGAGGACTGATCAGCACATAGATAGCCCTACCTTATTCCTAATCATCACGATTGAAAGAACAAACATAAGCTCTAAACAATGAAGCAGAAAGACAAGTCAGGTATTTGAGGAGCTCGTAAAAGTTTACAGCTCCTGGCTGTGAGCCTGTTGAATCAGCTGTAAAACGGTCTGTAAATTATGCTTTCTTTCTCAGATTTATTTCTTTATATTTATTTTCTGAGCACTCTGTCTTGTAGCAATAAAGACTGTAAAACAAATTCAAAAATAACTTTCTTTACCTCTAGATTCTGATATTTATTTAAACAAGAAGACGTGAGTTTATTATAACCTGCCACATCAAATGAATCATTTAAAGAAACTGCTCAGTAGAGTTTCAAAAGGACAGCAGATTGATTAAAAAAATATGTATGGTATCTGGTTAAAAAAAGAATTATTGAAATATTTTTATGAGTGAGGGAGTGAGTGAAAGAAATTCCAGGAAACTACAGAGGTGTCTTGTCTGTCTGGTCTGGGCAGATGTGCTGGCACTTACCAGAAAAGTTTTGAACACACTCTGTCTTTTTAGACACAAAGAGGAAGTAATGCGCAGTGTTTTTGCTACCTACTGCCTCATTGACATTTGTTTCCCCCTCATTTATCACTATCAGTTGTGTTCTCATTGGAATGTACAGTACTACTGAAGCTGCAGGCATTGCTACTAGGAAGTGATTATTTGTCATAAGTCATACATAGCAACAAATAAAAAAACTTTTAGGCCCTTTACTAGTCATGCTAATGGGCCACATGAATCTTTTTTTAAGCTGGTGAAGATTCTCAGTCATCCAGGACATGATGAATTCAAAAAGCGTTCAATAAAAAAACAACTGGACTTTATTTGTAACAGAAGACGTTTCGCTCCTCATCCGAGGAGCTTTCTCAATTCAAAGAGAATTCAAGAGAATCTTTTTTTAACAAACCAACATTACATGCATTTTTCACTTGAGCTGTGTTAATTGTATTTTATTCCTTATTTCTATTAGTCTAAGTATGTTTGACATTGAGGTATTTATAGCTGCACAAATTAGGGCATCATCCTACATTAAACTGAACAAGTGTATAAATAGAAACGGTGGGGGGGATGTTTGAGACAGAGCTCAATGCACATTTTTGTCTGCTCAAGTATTCATGGTCTCGGGCGTTTTTCCCTCCCCACTGAAATAAATAAAAACTATCTGGGAGAGCATAACCTCACTCAAACCTCTACTAGGGTTTTTTTTCTGTTAAACTGGTTACAGTGCCATACCAGTGCTGGGATTAGAGCTTCTTAAGTCGTTCCACGAAAAATGGCTAAGAACCAGTTTACTCACAAACATGCTAGAGCCACCTCCTAGTTATTACATCACTTTATTCTTTCCAGTAAATTTTAGCTCTTCCGTCTAGTTTGGTCTGAGTTTTTGTAGAAAGCTGCATTCAAGGGAACCTGTGAAACTGGTTTCTTAAGACAACCTGTCAACTTTTCTGTTTCTAACAATAGTCAGTTTTTAATGCTCTTTACAATGCCAACTGGCACCCTGATCTCTGTTGGGAAAGGCAGAATGATGCTTCAAATGGGATTTACATCGTTTCAAGCAGGTTCTGTAAATGCCAGCTGGTGATATTAAAAGACCAAACTACTTTATAAACAGAGTTGAAAACAATTTTGAAATTAAAATGAAACTAATTATAAATGCAGCTCATTGTATTAGTCAAACTTTCAAAGTACTGGAGCTATTAAGACAAATGACAGGAAAAGAAGACACAATAGAGTATATGTCCCCCCCCCCAAACTATAATGTTGGAGCCATTGTTGTAGAAGCTCAGAAATCCATCCATCCATCTGTTCATCCATCCATCCATCCATTCATCCATCCATTATCTTTACCCGCTTCTTCCTCTTCGGGTCGCAAGGCTCACTGGTGCCCATGTCCAGCAGTCACTGTGCGAGAGGCGGGGTACACCCTGGACAGGTCTCCAGTCCATCACAGGGACACATAAAGACAAACAACCATTCACTCTCTCACTCACACCTAGAGACAATTTAAAGTTACCAGTCAGTCTAACATGCATGTTTTTGCTCTGTGGGAGGAAACTAGAGTACCTGAGAAAACCCACACATGCACGGAGAGAACATGCAAACTCCACCCAGAAAGGCTGGGATTTGATCCAGTGACCTTCTCGTTGAGAGGCAGCAGCTCTACCAACTGAGCCACCGTGCATAACTAACTGAGTTTTAATCATGACATTAACAAACATTTTTGTCAGTTTTTGGTCTTGCTTTTCCTTTTTCTAGCACCTGACAATTTGTTTTTGCTCCACCTCCACTTGTCACTGTGCAGTCTTCTAGACTGAGCAGTAAACATTACCAGTGCCATGACATGTACGTCATCCTTTGC